GCTGGATTGCTGATAAAGTACAAACATATCGCTTGACAAACTTGGACAGATAAATATTCCATATCTCAAAGGATATCGGGAAATTGAACAGCTCTACGCCCCTCTCGTATACCTTGAAACTTTCCTCAAAGTATTGATTGTCTTCTAGGAAGGCAGCATAGTTGACGAGTACCTGTATATTCTTCAACATAGCCCCACAGTACAATACGGAAGCATCTTATATCGCGGCTCATGCATTGGCGAGTCAAGGGCAAAAAGCCGATGGAGAAGAAACTGGAAAAGCAGATAGTATGGACGCGATGGCGAATGCGGAAAAGGCCGCCACCAAGGGACCCTCCTTCGTGCGCGCCACCACGACGGCAAAGCTACCCCAAGTGCAAAAAGAGGACTCGGATGCCGAAATCAAGGTAGCAGAGGGGAATGAAGAAGAAATACAAATGTCTGAAGAGGAATAGCATGTCGTTATACCTTGTACTGCATTTAGTCTAGATGTGCCTATTTAGGTTCGAATCGAATACGTAGACCTTGACCTTGGCCACTTGGACCTTTTCACCATCAACACTGCAAATTGATCATGTCGCAGTTAGCTCTTGTATCTAATGCATTTCTTGAAGATGGTGCTGCCAAATTTCGCTCAAAACCCGTCCCGTGGGAGGTACATCAGTCTTCGAACAAGTGAATATCAGGGGATAACATTGCCAATAGGGCTATCAACGAGCTGGGCTGATAACGAGCGACGAGCTCACTCTTATCAAGCGCGTAGATAGACAACCACGCGGAAAGATAGAGTCTATTCTCGTGACGGATGGTCCACAATATGCTCTGCTCTACCTCACTCTCCTCAAAAAGATTGAACGCGTAGATACCATGCAGAACATATTGGTCTCAATCGGAGATGTCCTTGCAGGTACGTCAACAGACCGTGTCAACCGAGCCACAGTGCTGAGCGTAATAGATCACGACGAACGTATTCCCCTCTTCCTAGACTCTTCAAAGATTGACCCAGAACTCCCTTATACGCCATTTCTCAAGTATGAATCCCTTGTATTTGCCTTTATACCCCCTCATTCTATACAAGGACTTTAGAATCAAGTGACGACTGGGTTCAACTCAAAGCTTGTCAGATCGTCACCACCCTGATGAGGCGAGTGAGCTCTCTTTCCTTCACTGATACATACTTATGCGACTTCAGTGCCGAACCTGGAGTTCTCAAGCCATTCCAGTATTCTCCACTCCTACACACCATCTCCGGCCTCATGAAAGGTTCTTCGCCGAGTGGTATCGATGTAGCGGTCAAGTCTCTGGAAGCACTATTGCCACGAGCCGAGATTCGAAAGACGGTTTGGACAATGCCCGAAACTATCAAGGGGTCGGCACCTCCCATTCCTTGTCGCAATTGACTGATCAAACGCGAGTAGCTTAATTTCCATCTTGAGGGATAAACCAGATCCTCAAATGACATACCAGGTGGCTTTTTGTCTCTGGTTATTATCGTTCGAGCGCGATGTGGCTAGGGACATTAACAAGTTAGTTGAGATGGGACCCTTTGACTTGCACTCATAGCTCTACAGACAATATGATATCATCCCGCTATTGACCGAGGCTGCTCAGTCTGCAGTCAAAGAAAAGGTCATTCGTGTCATCCTCGCAACATTCAGGGTATGCGCATCTCATCAGTATTTTTTTTTCTAATATTTTACAAGAACCTCGTATCGAAAGCTCCAGAAAGTAACTTACCTGCAATGTTGGTGGTCAAACTACTGCCTTTTGTCAAAAATCTTTCGACGAGGAAATGGACGGACGATGACATTGTCGAAGACATTCAGTATCTGAGGGATGAACTGGCAGAAAACTTTAGAAGTCTAACGTAAGTCTACCAGAATTTCTGTGGCAACGAAGTGACAAAGAGTCAGGACTTATGACGAATACACTTCCGAGCTGGCTTCAGGACATTTGTCCTGGTCTCCAGTTCATACTTCTGATGAGTTCTGGAGAGAGAACGCCGTAAGACTGAACGAGAAAGACTATCAGCAACTAAAGTGGGCCCCAAACGCCATCAAGATATTTACAACTGACCAAATCATCAGGGTCCTCGTCGAACTCCTCAAAACCTCCAATGATCCAGTTATTCTTGCGGTAGCCACTCATGATATCGGTCAATATGTCAAATTTTATGATCGAGGGAAAAAGTTGGTGATTTGTTGATGTGCCAATACATCTCTTACATGAGTCTCTAGGTTACTTTCTGACCTCGGCGCTAAGACAAGGGTAATGGAACTCATGAGCCATGAGAATACTGACGTTCGATATCAAGCCCTGATCACCGTCCAACGGTTAATAAGCCACCCATGGAGGACTGCTTAGGTTTAAAGTAACATTTCATGTATTCTAAAATGTCTCGATATAAATGCGTAGCCGAGTTGAGGATTTGTCTCAGTGCTCATTATGCCACTCCAACATTCAAGCTTGGACCTTTCGACCATGCCAGTGCAGACACGGGCCAAGGGAAAGCAAGCCGATCCAAAGCCACAACCTCAGCCTCAGCCCGAGGTCAAAATAACATACCAAGTACCGGATGTACAGTCACTAAAAAGCTATGGCGAGAATGATCAAGAGGCGTTGAAGGCCGTTGCAACTGAACAGTTGGAAGCCTTGATGAATGCGTCGGGGATTTTGAGAGATGACCCAGTCCCGTAGGTTTACTCGCGTGAAATACGCGTGAATGGCGTGATGCTAACTGTTCAGGTAGAAAGATACAGAAGCCTCAGCCGAAAGGCAAGAAACCAGCAGCCAAACCGACCAAGGGAAAGGGAAAGCAGAGCGCACCTCCTGAAGAAGAAGAAAAGGAATGGTTAGGAGGTTGGGACTTCTTCTTCGTTGGAAAGAAGAACATAAAGCGAACCATATCAAAGCGGATCAAGCCACAACTAGACTACATTGAACGAATGAAGAAAGCGTGGCGTCCGGACCCTCCGAATAAGATGGAAATGCCCGAAGATTGGTTTGTAAGTCATCTATCAGTTTATTCGCATGCGTCCTGATTGGTTCTCTTGATTGGTTAGTTTGGGCTGAACTATGTTTTTGGCAGCAAGAAGAGGTCACGATCGTGTTATCAAACAATAGACCCTGGGACATGGACAAATACGACAGAGAGAAGGTCAATAGAACTAGGATGGCCTTCTACACCGAGCCAATTGGCGAGCATCTACATCGAGTTTCCACCAAGGACCTGATTCGACGCCATTTGTCTACACGTTTATCTCAGTCGATACTCCCAGATTTCTGCCTAACATTTCGACCAACGAGACCAGATGGGATCCCTGAAGGCGGTCGGATAGAGATCTATCCCTGCCTCGAAAGGTTCTTGGATATAGTCAATCTTCCCATGGGCGAACACAACCTGGAGCTTTGTGCCCTCAATGCGTTCACAAATATTCCTCTGTGTTGGCTTCTGATGTACGTGACGTCTCGCTTTACTCGTTCAACGACTCATCTGAATTACAGTAATCCCAAGCAACGTTTTCTAGAACCTTTGGCATACGAACAGCCAGGTTTAAGAATAGAGTTCGCTCTTGTTCACAATACAGTTAGACCATTCGTGAAGGAGGAAGTGGAGGCCGCTCGAGAGATGCCTATCTCCTATACTCATCCTGCAGTGCTATTGGCGATGAAAGGTCCTACCCAATGGCCCGATTTTTTGCGGAAATGGGACCAATCACCCCATTTCGAGGATCCACAATGGAAAGCGATGACTTATGAGGAGCAGCTACAGTATTGCATAGAAGACTTGGCATGTGCCGTTTTACCTTCCCTCGACACTCTTGTGACGACCTGGTTCCTACGAGTTGAACAAAAAGTCACGCCGCAAAGAACCCAAAAGTCGTATCCAATCTGGCCACCGCCGGGAGAAGATTCGGACGTTTCGAAATTTGCTCCCGACTCTGATGATGAGGAGCCATCGCCCAAGCACCTCGAGTGGAAGAAGCTCCCGGCATGGGCGTGGATCCCGGGCATTTTGTATGATTGGAACAAATGCTATCTAGTCGCTCATATCCCAGTCTTGCCAGACGATTTGACATCTGAAACGCCAGTCGAGTACGTTTCATACGTATTTGATGAGCTCGAAATGTCTCATCCCACCTCTGGGGACGAAGACGACCGACCCTGTCTTCTCGAGCGTGTTCGGTTGGGTCTGGCTTGGATGGCGCTGGCGAAGCACGCCTTCAAGGTCTCTTCTCTTTGGGAGAATGTGATACAGCCGCTGGAGATCATGAGGTACGAAGAAATTGCGGGTCTTCGGGAGAACAAGTATGGCTTTGTAGAGAAGCCACCAAGTGGAATCCGACAGCCAATTCGATTTGTGAATTTCGAAGAAGACGGGTACTATAATCCATATATCGTTAGGGATGCTTCGGAGTTGTCTATCATGGCTTATCAGAAGGCCAGCATGGATGATGTCTTCCGCCTGGATCCCGAAGATGAAAAGAAAAGAGACAAGAAATTGGAACAAGCTGTCGCGGATCTAAAAAGGCAAGTGACACCGTATATAGAAAAGTGGCTTGCCAATTTGGAAGATCCTGCCTTCGAAGTATATACAGAGGAGATAGACCGTGAACATGAGGCTTCGGAGGAAGATGAAGATGAGGATGAAGGTGAAGAAGATGAACCAGAGGAAGAAGATGAAATAGATAGCGAAGAAGAAGAAAGTCAGGAAGAAGAGGAAGATGACTGAGGGTTTATATTCGTCGTTAGTTTTGGATCAGGTCAAGTTCATCAAGATAGTCTTGTTTCTTGGGTGCAATATTCTCAAATATACTCTCGTTGAAGGGAAGAAACGACTGGTCATGTATATGAGACAACTGAGCGTCGTCGGAAAGTTTATTTAGCCTGTACATAAATTGCCCAAGTCTGATTGGGGAACGTTGTCCACTCAACTGTATAGTCAATTCAGATTAAAGTGACATGCCGTACTAATAACCCACACCTACTGAGCCCACCCAATGCTAACAGCGTCTCCGACGGTATCTTTGATTGTTTCCTCCGCAGGTCTATACCTGGTTCCAAGGATACCTTTGACCTTTTCGCGTGGCACTATAGTCGAAGGCTGCCAATCTTTGAGAGCCTCGGGATATCCTTTGATTGGTTCTATCCCAGGTATGGCGCTCTGGTTGATGATATCAACTAAAAAGAGACTGTTCAGTGGCTAAAGATTGAAATATGCCGGAGTACGCACACACTCGCTGCCAGGTCATTTCGTAGGAGGAAGTGAGAAAGCGCTCTCCTCCTGCAGCCGGGATGAGAAGGGCTTGGACATGCTGCCCGGCGAGATCTCGAACATCGATCATCCTAAATTCCGTCAACGCAAATTCACGCGTCAATTTCTCTAGCCGGTCCTTCTTGATTTCATTAAGGAGGAACGCATTGGATCCCCCAATGTTGATGGTAGTCTCGCTGATGATAGGCTGGACAAGGTGAGAAATAGAATTCATACATGAGATAGTACTTACACCCCAGACATACGGAGGGAGGAGAGTGACCAAGTCGAAGGAAGGTTTCTTCTCCTTTACAAACTCCCAAGCAGACTGCTCTGCTAGGACCTTTGAAGCTGTATATTTAAAATATATGGGTGCCCCCTTCCCTTTCTCCTTTACAATATTGACAGCGGCTTC